TCTCCCTTCTCTCTACCTCGTATGTTCTCGGAGATCCCAAATCGATAACTAAGTTTTCCGATTCGTTGGCCTAAGTCGGCCGATGGTCGAAGGTTTCTACGCTCTTCGAGAAGATTTTTAGTTTCTTTAAGATATCGCATGTCGTAACAGAATGATATGTGGGCATCAATTTCGTTTATTACGCATGATATGATACGTTAAATTTTGGCGATTAGAATTAAAAAACCGATAAGAATTAAATACATTGACCGAATCGATAATGTTTGATAATAAAAAAATAAAGAGGAAGAGATAGATATACGTTTCCAATATACGTCCCCTTTTCTTCATTATTCGATCACTTACGCAGAAACATAACAGATTTATCTTAAAAGAGGAATAAAGCAAAATATCTCGGATACTTTCTTGCTTTCCGATGTCAATTCCGCTATCTGTTCGCGAGCGTTACGGAAAAGGTGAGCAGATCTGCGCACGTGGGATCTCTTCGAAGAAATCTGTGTCCGTGTGCGAGGTTGCGTGCGAAATAACGCGGATTTCGTGCCACGCGTTTGTAACGCGGGGGAGGGGGGGGGGGAGGGAGAGAGAATGGGAGGAGCTCCGCTTTCTGTTCTCAATGACGATATATCGATGCGGGCACGGGAAAGCGTCTTACGGGACGGTACTTGCAAAATTGTGTGTTGCGATATTCACAATTATGCGTCTTCGTACGACAAAGAACACGGCCCGTTTGTCAATATTTCAAACGACAGAGCCGTGCACTGATTTCACAAGGTGCGTGCGGAATAGGGACAAAGGTGAGGATCGAATGGAGGTAGGATAGGAAGAGGAGGAGAGCAAAGAGAGACAACGGAGAAGCGTGAAAGATAAAGCGGGATACAGAACGAATAGGGTTGCTTCACTCTGTATCAACTATGCACCCTTATCAATTGGAAAATTGGTATGTGCAATGGGAACGGAAGAGGAGGGGAAAGGCTGTATCGTACGAATGAGGGTGATGGTATAAGGACGGAGAGCGCGAGACAAGAAGGGAAGGGAGGACCAGTGCCGGATTTACCGTTAAGCCACCTTCGCGAGCCCGGTTAACGTTGAAAGCCACCACATAAGTAACGTTTCACAGAATTCTATATCGTTATTTTTTTCACAGTTATTATAAGAATCGATTAATCTCTCATAATTTAATTTTTAACATTCTCGATGTAGAAACTTATCACGTATCGTCCATCATTACACATAAGCATAACAAATATTTCTATGTATTCATAGCAACGCAAAATGAAATATTACAGTGAAACAATAATTTACTAATATAATAAATATAATAAATATAATAAGTTATACTCTTTTGTTTTCGTAAAAAAATGTCATTTCGATTACAGATGGTGGAATAAGGTTCCTAGGAATTAAAATCCGTCATTGGAGAAAAGGTAGATAAAGAATGAGAAGATAGAAAGAGAGAAAAAGTTTGTTAGGTTTGTGTTTTCGGGAGAGCCATAGAGGTGAAAAGATATCTTTGAGTAACACTTATTTCACTGCTTATTGGACGCGAGGAATGACGAGTAACGAGCGACATCCAATGAAAGTTTTGCTTTTTCTCACGTGACGATGTAAAACTGAGCTCTCATTGGATATCGTTGCTCATTGCTCATCGCGTTCAGTGTGGAGTAGGCATAAAGCGATTGGCGATATAACCTGAAATTTTTCTTGCTAGCAGCACGTTCGCCGACGAGTGACATCAAAGATGTTACCGTGTCGACGACCCGCATCGTCTATGCACCCTTGTGAATTGGAAAATTCCGCGTTCGCTAGCGAAGAGACACGGAGAAGAGAGTACATATAAAAGACAGGGACGTATCTAGCAAGCGACTGGAAAAGAGACGAAGAGAGAGCTAAGAGGAAAAGGAAGAACTAACATATGTAAAAGGCGCAGAAGAAAAAATGGAGTATTACAAACGTATTCTCTATTATTATGCACTAATTTATAATAGCAATTATTGATGTGCTTCGTTATATTTTCTTTTACTAGAATTATTGCTTATTAACAATAAATAAATGATATTATGTCAGTATATATTAATATGTATATTATATGTACATCGAAGTTGTTCATATTGATCTTTTTTTATCTATTTATGTGTTTTTTTATCTACACATTGTTCTCAAATAATCTAAATTATGACTAAAAAAAAATGTCTTTTTATTTATTATTTCCAAAGCTAATCTCGCGAAATCTCTATACACTTTTAATCTCTTGTAAAATAAAAAAAATGATCTTGACAGTTTCCTTACGGAAAGACGTACTCCAAATTCTGTGGCAAAAATTCAGAATGCAAAAAGGGGGACTCGCAGGCATTTATATCTCGAAAGAGAACGAGAGAAAGGAACAAAGGGGGTGGGAGTATATAGAAAAAGGAGAAAGATAGAGCGAAGATTGATAAGGTTGTGCAAGGCGCATGCGTTACTCGGGCGTTGTGGGCGTCGGAAACGTGTTGACACACGAGAGAAACCAAGAACGAAAAAGAGGAAGTCGGAAGGGAAGGAGAGAGATAGAGCGTCGCGTGTGTAGCCATAGAGCTCTAATGCCAGAACGTCAGATCGCCCGTATATATTATATGTACCGTCTCTCGATGCGGTTCCCAAGCTGCGGATCCCGCTCTATCGTTGCTGTCGGTCCTCATGAGAGCCACCCAGCGGCGTCGCGCGTTGCCATAACCACCGTACAACGAATGGAGATGCGCGATCGTGGAGATCCACGTTCGATCGATCGCGACGGGCGACAGGCTAATAAGGGGGAAATTATTGTGCGAGTTTAGAGCGGTGTGCTCTCTCGTCCAGCAGCGAATCGCCCAGGGCCGAGCATCGGATCGCGGAATCCCTCTTTGTCGTAACGTATCACAAAACTAAAAAAAAAAACATAAAGAAGAAATATGTACGCTCCGATGCAACCGAAACACTTAGGACATTGCAATTAATTCTAATTGAGAATTCAGTTTCATAAATGCAACAAAATTTATTTTATCATTTTATTCATTATAATTGTATTCTTATGGCTATGACTAAACATAGGAATCAATAGATACTTTTCACGCTTTTTAGATTAACTTATAGTCAACTTATATAAAGTATTCTCTTTCAAAACTCTCAGACTCAGTGAATCAACTCACGGAAAATAAAAAATAAACATTTTCTGTTAAATTTTGTATTTAGGGAATCTGTTTATCAATTCAATAGAATCTACACACATACGATTTACATGTCATTGACACATTACTGTCGCACATCAATATCGTATGTGTACATACGTACAAATTTTCTAACTAATTAATCTTTCACTAAAGATCTAAACGTAAAAAAACTCAACATTATTTATGTCTAGTTCAAATCAAGATTGTTTTATATGTACAAAGTATACAAAATTTTCATATAAAGCAAATATTGTTATAAGTCGACGTCAGAAGCCGATAAAAACTACACAACTTTTTTTGTTTTTGGCATAAAGATAACCGGCTACACTTGTTGTTTACTTTTTAACTGTGAAAAAGGATTTTTTAATCTGTGGTGTAAAGGCAGTTAGACAAATATCTACTTATTTGAAAAATATTTAGTAAAACATACAGACGACTTTAGAATCCCCTACGTAGAAAAGATAATTGTATACTATAAAGTCAATAATGATGTGCTACTATATATTTTACGGCCTGCGAGACAGTAACATAAACTATTTGTATCTTTGGATACAAAAATGTCGAATTAAACTTCGGGAATTTTATTGAGTCGATTGACATGTTATTATAAAATACTATAAAAGTTACTGATTGTCAGTTTTGTACAAAAAACTTAAATGTAATTTTTCTCTCGAAGCAAGCCTTCGTAAAGTTGGACCATTGTGCATCAAGCGTGCTCATATACGCTTTCGGAGAGTTCGTTTCAGAGACAGGTGATACTTGAAGGGAGAGCAGGAAAGGTAGGAGAAGAAGAAGAGGGTGGATGCAGGTCGACTTCGGAGGGAACGTCGCTTCGAATAATTCCGAGAAGGTATTCATACAGTCTTGCGGGTGCTTTGTAATTTCAAAGCGTCGTGCAGGGCCGTAGTTATTGTATGGTGAAAGAGTGTAGAATTCTCTCTCTCTTTCTCTCTCTCCCCTCCTTCCCACCCTCTTTCTTTCCCTTCCTCTCTCCTTCTTTCTATTTTTTCGTTATAAAAGAAAATCGAGTAAAAAATGTAACAAGTATTTCACAATTATATATGTAAATTATATACACGTATCGCACGTCACGATATTATAAATACAAAACATATTAAACCATTGATGTTATCGATGTTTTAATTTGTATTTGTATACGTTGTGTACTGTCTTGTAAAACGCAAGGTGTGTTACAAATTTAATAAACGAAATTTTCTATAACAACTGAATAAATACATGAATAACTATTCCTTTTTTTTGAAGACGCTGTTGCCCGTATATTTTCCTTCGCAAATCTTGATTGCGCATTCTTTGATCTCAAGTTCCACGTTTTAACACAAAAGCCTATCGATTATTTCTGGTACCCTTTTTCGCAAATGGAACGTTGCGCACCGGTGCATCCGCTTCATTCAAAAGAACAACAGTTATGTCGCGGGGGTGTTCGATCGCACCGAAGTTCGCAGGGAGTTCGCAGACGATCGACGCGCCCATAGGAAATTCATCGTCCGCTAAATTATTACGCTGCTAGCAACGAACATAGAGTGCGTCCACGTCGCGCAAAGTGGCTCTTATAATTTGCTCCATAATGTAAGAAGAACGATGAGGAAAAGTGGGAGAAGAACGCGCACCACGCCGCGCATCTATAATTTCCATCTATGGGCGATTGTCGTTACAAAAGCCCTATTTTTCACCCTGAAACTTTTAGAATCTCGAGTGCTTTTATAATTTGCAAGTTTCAAATGAATAATCTCCGCCGACTCGGCGAACTCAGGTCTTGCAACGAATCCGTTTTCTCAGAAAGTAGATAAAGATATGTCGATTATCGTATAACGATTACCATGAAAGCTCAAGTATTCTTTGTATAACGTATTATGGAAAAGACGAGAGAGACCTCTCTTGTCCTGGCTCTGATAACTTTTCGGCTATTTCGTCGAAACCACGGACGTGAAACTTACGGACGTGAAACCACGCCAAGATGGCTACGCAAAGGCATAATCGGAATTCTTGGATTCTTACATAAAGTTACTGACAGTCTCTAAGCCTTTCCTTCACTAATTTTGAGACTTTTAAACTCAAAAGATGATTACTATATTACGTATGCTATATTATGTTATATTGTATAATAATAAGACTACTTCTTTCTTTAGAGCTATAATTTCCTCGATATATAAAAAAATGTAGTAAATACAATATTAAAGTTTTAACTAAAATTTATATCTTAAATTATACTAATACTATTATTACAGAAATTGTAATATTTTTTATTTATTCAAAAACATATAAATTATACAAAAAAATTGTTATTTGAATAATTTAATATATAATTTAAGACAATACAAGGTTCAACTTCCGTATACTATCCAAATCTGATTTTGATGAAATTTTACATGAATTTTACATGTACTATTTAAATGTAGTCAAATCCATAAATGCGGAAATGTTTAGTTTTCGAAATATTCAAATTTTATTTGATTGACTTGATTAATGTTTTTAAAGATTTTGACGAAGATTTTGAAGAAGAAATAATTAGAATTAAAAATTACAATATTTTGTTGACTTTTATATTAATATTGTATATTGACACGAAGCAACTTTCACCCCCTCCCCCCTCATGCATCAGGGGTGTACGATTTCCACGCGAAGCGACTTTCACCCCACCTCTTCTCCTGCTTCAGAGGCGCACGACTTTCTACGCAAAATAAGGTTTACCCCACCTTCCATCAAGGGAAAATATTGCTAAAATATATATCTTGTGTTCGAAAATTACATACTATTTAGAAAAAATTCTTTTGTCCTTAACTTTGTAATGGATAATATAACGAGCAACAGAAAAGATCAATGATCTTGATTTCCTTGAGGGTCAAGATCAAAGTCAAGTCAGTTGGAGGTCATTTGGAGCTGACTATGTAAATGTTTTACCAAATAATTAAGTTAATTAAATAAATTTTGAATATTTCAAAAACTAAGCATTTCCGCAAGTCCGCATTTATGGATTTGACTACATTTAGTTAGCACAATCTTATGCTGGGTCTACAATAGAAGTCATAGCAGTCATAGGGTCTTAAGTAGAAAATTGACAATCATAGTCGATTATCATATTCGACAGTGATTGGTTTATTTTCTACAACTTAAGATTCTACGACTGTTACGACTTCTATTGTAGAGAGACCCCGCATTCCCGATACAATTCTACTAGTAAGATAAAAATTTTACAATTTACAAAAAATTACTTTTTGTATAGGTGATGTGTTTATTATATCCCTGAAAAAAACAAAATTTATAATAGGGTATCTCAAACTTTTTGCCTACATCGCTTGTGGGCAAACGGACTGAGTCAAAAAGTTTGGACCTGTATATTGTAAATTGTTTTATTCTACCATTTTGAAATTTTCGCAATTTTTTGTAGTTACTCAATGAGCAGAACTAACTTTGACGAATAAATAACTTTAAAATATTTTTAAGAATTCTTTAAGAAACATCTTTAAGATAAGTTCATAAAGAATCCTGAAAGATATTCTAAAATTGTCTTATGCATCGATTTTACTCACATAGGTCCGGTTTTTCATTATCTAGTTAATTTGTGATTAGACTTAATTTGATGTTTTATCCATTGGATTTCGTTTGTGATCATGTCATGGATGAAGCCCATTGGATGAAGGTTAAGCTTAACCACAAGTTAATCAGATAATAAAAAAACTGGGCTTTATTTGACAATCTTTAAAAGTTAACATCTTGTTAACTATTACAAAAATTATAAAATAGAAAGAACTATTCAACTCAGTTTAATCCAGTCCACCTGTCCAAGTGATGTAAATCTCAAAAAGTTTGAGACACTCTGTACAATTAATATATAACTACAATATTACAATATTAATCAAGAGACAGTTATATTTTGAGCTCAGTTTATATATATATATATATATATATATATATATATATAAAATGGCGAGATAGATCATATATTATATTTTTATGCAAGACGGCAACTTGAGAGTACAATTATAATGCCTAGATTGATTGTAAATTGC